GGATCTGTCCCCCTCGACGTATCTGTGCATGTGCCAGTTTCAGGCATTAGCAGCCGATCGGCGATCTCCGGCACATGCGCAGATACGTTGAGGGGGACAGATCATCCTGACAGTATCACGCTCCACGGGCCGGATTATAAGGTCCGCCGGGCCGTATACGGCCCGCGGGCCGTAGTTTGCCCATTGCTGTTCTAATGATTGGTCTATTTGTGAGCCGAGGCCACATGTTACGGATGAAATTGCAATTGCAATTTTCCCACGGCACACCAAACAATATCTCACGGAAAACAGATTACTAAGCCAGATTATAGTGTCCAGTTTCAGGTAGCATGCATCACTAAATCCAAAAAGGTTATACTAATATATGAGCAAGGGGAGAGCAGAGATACTTCACCCTTAAGATACTGCCACCTAAGGTACCCAGTACTAGATTTAAGCAGGCCATAGACAATGGGATTTTCTTTTCTGCAACCAGGGGTTGCAGGAAATAAAATCGCTCGATCTCATGCATCAATACAGTCACTGGGCGGGGAGCTGTCCTTGCTGCCAGAATACTGTGAATATTGCTAGCGGCTTTAGCCTCTGGCAATAATCACATGAAAATTCCGATAGGCTGGTTGTACCCAATTTGTACAAAAATTGAACTGGGTACAGTCATCCAGCCAGAAGATGAACCGGCCGAGATTAAAATCATCTCTTTATAGTGTTGGGTAGAATTTTCCCACAACAGATGCACAACAGATGAATGAGAAAGTTTTATCAGATCTGTAGCACAGCAAGGAGATGTACATTTATGCCTTTCCAGCTGGTTGTAAACACCATTAAGGTGAAACCCACCAGGAGCCAATTTTATACATACACTGACATTACAGAAGAACATTACCTTCAATATCATCAGCATCATCTAGACCCAAATCTGCCATGAGATCTATGATAGAAAAAAATATTTTTAAATATATACACACACACACACACACACACACCTGGATGATTAATCAACTGTGTTAAAAAAAAAATGGAACACAAAATACCTGATTTACTGTTTCTTTCATTTATTTTTGACACCGAGTTAGTGGAGGAGCCATTATTAATTTGCAAATCTGTTTTCTGTGGCTTAATAAATGGAAAACAATATTATGATCATAATATGTTAATAACATTTTATTAAAAGTATAAAAAAAAACAGCAGTACCTTGTTAGCTTCCAGAGCTGTACTTTTCTCTGAAACTTCTAGGGAAAGGAATATAAACTGGATTTCAGTTCATCCAATCTGTAGTCAGCTTTCATGCAAAAGTCATGCTCTGTGCTCACATTAGTACACAGTAGAATTTTTCAGACTGCAGTGCCAGAGAATTAGTATAGCAGAAATATGGAGGCTGTTACTTCTGCCATGCATCCACAGGATTGTCTTTTTAAATTCATAATCATACCGCTCCGTCTATAGAGCCAGTCCTCATCCTGCATCTTACAACTTCTTGATCGTTTAAGAAAACAAGGACGGTAATACATATCTAATGAGGGAACCAGAATTTTAGAACTTACGTATGCAGGTAAAAGAACAAAAAGCAGGGCTAAATCAAAACAAAAGTGTAAAGAGCAGCAAATCAGATCAGATGGTTGCCCTGAAATAAAATAAATGATTGAACTGTAATTTTTCACCTGCTTCTGAAAATACTAATTGCTCGGCTCTCATGCTGATCCGCACAACTGAATATCCTGTAAGTCCCTAACCAGAAACAATTATGCAAGCAAGTAAAGCCAAACTTGGTTAACATACCTGCTGTGGGTCAGTGACTCAGAAAACTGCTGAAGTTGGAGAGACAGTATGAGAGCAAACAAAATGGCAATTTCAGAAGGATTCAAACTATTGTTTACTGGCTTACGACAACACACACAATACTGTACAAACAGTGTCTGTATGTACGTATGTACACATGTATGTATACATACCTACACTTGCAATTGATATGCTCTCTCATTCACAGCCACCTTATACCAATTTAAAAATGTTGCATATTCCTGTGAGAAGCCATTCTACTCGTTTTCTTTATAAGCCAGCTATAAGAGAAATATTGAGAGCTTCTATTGCTGAGCTCCTTCAAGTAAAACTAATTTCCAGATTTTTAGGCAGATAAAAATATTTAATACTTTGTATCATTGACCCTGAACAAGTATATGGAGACTAGAAAGGCTGAAGTCTCTATGTGCATGCTTCTTCAGGGTCAGTTACTCACTGCACTGAAACAGGAGTGACAAGAATGACAGCCAAACTGCAAGCATTTAACAGGAGAGGTCATGTTTGATAGCCTTCATGGTCTTCTCATGCTCCCTCTACTGGATGCATTAACAGCTGGTATATATAACTGGAACAAACTCAGTGAAATGTGACTTGTTGCAAAGGAAAAAATTTGATTTATTAAAATTAAGGTTTTCAATGACTGAAATCATAATCTACAAGAAGATAGGCAACACTTACCTTCATGGGATTCCTCTGAAATACACTGCATATGGACTGGAGCAGCAGGTGTAGGTATGTCACTGGTAGACTGCTTTCTAGGGCTGTCTGAGGCAGACTGAAAAAAAGGACAACATATACAGGTATTTTAAAACAGAAAGATTATACCTCATAATTAAAAATTGACACTAAACTACAGTGAAGGAATTAAGTATTTGATCCCCTGCTGATTTTGAATGTTTGCCCACTCACAAAGAAATGATCAGTCTAAAAAACGAATGGTAGGTATATTGTAACATTGAGAGACAGACTAGCAACACAAAATTCAAAATAAATGCATGTCTAACAAATGATGCACTGATGTGCATGTTCATGAGGGAAATAAGTATTTGATCCCCTATCATTCAGCAGGATTTCTGGCCACCAGGTATCTTTCATACAGGTAACAAGCTGAGATTAGAAGCAGTCTCTTAAAGGGACTGCTGCAAATCTCATTGTTACCTGTATAAAAGGACACCTGTCCACAGGAGCAATCAAACAAACAATCAGATTCCAAACTCTCCACCATGGCAAAGACCAAAGAGCTGTTCAAGGATGTCAGGGACAAGATTGTAGACCTACACAAGGCTGGACTGGGCTACCAACCTATCACCAAGCAGCTTGGTGAGAAGGTGACAACAGTTGGTGCAATCATTCGCAAATGGGAGAAACACAAAACAACTGTCAGTCTCCCTAGGTTTGGTGCAACATGCAAGATCTCACCTTGTGGAGTGTCAATGATCATGAGAACAGTGAGGAATCATCCCAGAACTACACGTGAGGATCTTGTCAATGATGTCCAGGCAGCTGGGACCACAGTCACCATGAAAACAATTGGTAACACACTACGCCGACAAGGATTGAAATCCTGCAGTGCCCGCAAGGTCCCTCTGCTCAAGAGAGCACATGTCCAGACCTGTCTGAAGTATGCCACTGAACATCTGAATGATGCAGAGGAGGACTGGTTGAAAGTGTTGTGGTCAGATGAGACAAAAATCGAGCTTTCTGGCATCAACTCAACTCACCATGTTTGGAGGAGGAGGAATGCTGCCTATGACCTTAAGAACACCATCCCAACTGTCAAACATGGTGGTGGAAACATTCTGCTTTGGGGGTGTTTTTCTGCTAAGGGGACAGGACAACTGCACCGCATCAAAGGGACGATGGACGGGGCAATGTACCGTCAAATCTTGAGTGAGAACCTTCTTCCCTAAGCCAGAGCATTGAAAATGGGGCGTGGATGGGTATTCCAGCATGACAAGGACCCAAAACACACGGCCAAGGCAACAAAGGAGTGGCTCAAGAAGAAGCACATTAAGGTCCTGGAGTGGCCTAGCCAGTCTCCAGACCTTAATCCGATTGAAAATCTGTGGAGAGAACTGAAAGTTCGAGTTACCAAATGTCAGCCACCAGACCTTAATGACTTGGAGAGGATCTGCCAAGAGGAGTGGGCCAAAATCCCTCCTGAGATGTGTGTAAACCTGGTGGCCAACTACAGGAAACGCCTGACCTCTGTGATTGCCAACCAAGTACTAAGTCATGTTTTGTGAAGGGGATCAAATACTTATTTCCCTCATGAACATGCAAATCAGTGCATAATTTGTTAGACATGCATTTCTTTTGAATTTTTTGTTGTTATTCTGTCTCTCTGTTACAATACACCTACCATTCGATTTTTAGACTGATCATTTCTTTGTGAGTGGGCAAACATTCAAAATCAGCAGGGGATCAAATACTTATTTCCTTCACTGTATATCCTTATTCTCCAAAATAATCCATACACATTGACTACTTAATGGCTGTGCAACCTACTTTTTATTAAATCTTTTTTACTGTGTGTTTCTGCCTCCTTGTAACATCCTCTGTGAGCTCCTGAACCGCTCATTTTACCCCCCCAATTCTATTGGTTTGGAAAGAGCAATGCATGTTAGTTGTGGTTATGTGCAGTTCTCTATACACACTACAAATCCCATAGTCCACACTCCATACCCTAGTCAACATTGGAAGGAAGCAAGAGAGGGTGGCTACATTCCTTACAGTGAGACCATGCCTGTAGCCACCCTCAAACAGGAAGTCAGGTCAAAGCAGCAAAAAGAACAAAAAAAAAAAGGACTTTGAAGGAGGGTGAGAGCAAAAGGAAAAAGACTATTTGAGTTAGGAATACATACTTAACCTCTTCATGCTGCCCGTACGCATATATGTAGCCCTGTGTAAACAACTTACTATGCTGAGAGCTCCCTGCATGCCTCCAGCATGGTAGCCATCAGAGAAGGGTAAGCTCCCAATGCTTACTTGCGATCAGGAGCTTTCAGATCATGTGACTGCTGTGACAGCCAATCACAGCAGTCACATGACCCAAATGCCCGCCTCCACCTCCTGGCTTTTAGAACTCTTAAAGAGCCGGGAGGCGGCCAGTGGGAATGGAAATACAATTTTCTTTTTTTCAAGCAGAGTATCACTGTAAGTCAAGATGAAACACATATTGTAAACCTACCTCAGAATCCCACGGTGATTCAACATCATCATCTTCCAGTCCAAGTTCGGACATTAGTACAACTACAGAAAAAGATAAAAATGCCAAAATGTCAGTCATCACAATACTAAATGCATTAATCCCACACATTATTGCCAATTAGAGCAAAAAAGAGGAACTTTGACTTATCTGTAAATTCCATATCTTGGATTACAGTAGAGGACACAGGCTGGCTATTCATATACCCTGGTTACCTTCAGTTGACAGGACACTGGCAAAGCTTCTCAGGATATACCTGCTGGGCGAACACTTATAATTCTACCCCCCTCTCTGTTAGACCTCAGTTTTCTAGGCAATGGAGAGTAACACAGGAACAGAGAGGAGGGTGGCTTGTGTCCTGTACTGTACTTCAAAAGATATCCAGGACACAGGCTGGATATTCATTGGGATGTCCCCAAGTAAAAAATAAGGTGGGTGGGTAACAAGGCAAACGGAACTGTGCTAACAACCCCAACAATAACAAGAGTCAATGGACCAAACTCAGAGTGCTCCTTCAAGAACATTGTGGCCAAAAGCTGCATCTGCAGAAGGTTGGATCTGGAGGCCAGATCTGGAGTTCCAAATTTCTGACCAAGGAAATTGAAGCTTTCAGGATGAAGGGCCCATTCCTCTTGGTACAGGTGGTGATGGCTGAGGTAATCCACCTTTCAACTGTCCACTCCTGCAATGTAACCAGCAGAGGGCTGGACAGTGTTTCTGTGCCCATGAGATGACCAGACTTACTTCCATTAAGCCCACCTGATATTGTTTCATTGTACTGTGATCAGGTGACCCTGATGAAGGGGAAAGGAGGGGGCTGTCAAGTGATTCAGAGCTAGTTTTATCATAAGCTTCTTAGCTACAGATTGTTGAAAGAGAGCTTGGCTTTTGTGGGTGACCATGTACCTTGAACTTCGAGGGACTGAAATACTCATTCTCCAGCCTGTGAGGATAGCATCTATTATCACCCAACATGGGTGTGGTAGAATCAGATTCTACAATGTCAAGGTAGGATTGGAAAGCCATCCAGCTAAGGAGTTATTTGCTTGGCTGGAGAGGAGCATAGGGAGATCAAGAGAAGAAGCATGCTCATTCCAGGTCAAAAACATGTTGTGCTTGAAAGACCTTGAATGGAGTTGAATTGAGTGATGGGGATAGCCTCAAATGAGGCCATGCATTCAAGGAAAGATTCACAGAGGGATATCTGTTTGATAATAAGAACATAGCATGAGATCTTACAGAAAGGACCTTGTTTCTGGAAGAAAGACTTTTGCCTGCGGTGTGTCCTAAATATTCTAGGCAAAGGGAAGGTTGGAGGGCAGACTTCTGAAAGCAGATTACCCAGGCTTGAAGCATCTGAACAGTCTTTTTTGTGTTTGCAATAGTTGAAAGGGAGAGGAGTCCTTCAGAGTTCTCAAGAGGGCAAGGAGAAGTGCAAGTACCTTTGTGAATACTGGGTGCACAAATAGGTCAAATGGCAGTGCAACATGCAACAAAATGGAAGCGTTAGTCTCCTACTGGGAAACGCTGGTGAGGTTGGTAAATGGAAATATGTTGATAAGCATCTTGAATATCTACTGATGCTAAGTATTCCCCTTGTCTCAGACAGGAAATAACCAACCTTGCAGATTCCATGCTATATTTTGGAAATTGAAGATAGTGGTTTAGGGATTTCAGGTGCAGGATAGACTGAAATCCTCAATTGGGTTTTGCTACTGAACAGGTTTGAATAGATTTATTTGAACCTGTCCTACAGAGGAATCGAAACAACCACTACCTGGGATAAGAGATTGCCTAGGTCAGTTTGTAAATCTGACTGTCCTTGACAACAGAGGATTGAACTCTATTTTGCACCCCTTTGAAACCGCTGATTGAACCCACAGATCTGGGATGTCTGTGACCCAGAAAAAAGCAAACTGTAACAAACCATCCCCCACTCTCAGGAGTGAAGGCACCTCTTTATTGTGAAGAGGGTTTTGGGGTGGATTTGGTAGGTTTTGTGTTCCAAGTCTTGTGTTAAAGAAAGGACTGAATTTTGGCTTTGAAGATGAAGCACTATTCTTTTCCGCAGTTACAACCCGAATTCCCAAAAAGTTGGGATATTGTGTAAAATCTACAGTCAGGTCCATAAATATTGGGACATCGACACAATTCTAACATTTTTGGCTCTATACACCAACTGTCAGGAATGGACTGGCCAGCTATGGTGGGACTCACCTGCCTTTTGATCTGCAGTACCAGGGCTGGCCAGCGGGTGTTCCAGCAATCAGAGACTCAACTTTGCAGCCAGCTAACACCTGTAACTGATTATGCTGGGGTATTTAAGGGATGGCCAGACCCACAGACTCTGCCTTGGTGTGTGTTTGTCCTGGGTCCTGTATCCTGTTTCTGTCCTGCATCCTGTTTCTGTCCTGCATCCTGTTTCTGAACCGCTGCTGACTTCTCCTGCTCTGATCCCGGCTCGCTCCTGACCATCCCTCTGTCTGACCCTCTGTACCACGCTGCTTGCTACCTGTTCTGATCCCTGGCTTGTGACCCTGACCAATCTCCGCTTGCTCCCCCTGTACCTACCTGCCCTATCGATATTGACCCGACCTGCCTGATGACGCTTGCTTGTATGTACTGTTATCTGTGGGTGGTTTGGTTTGGTTTGTTTGCACTGTATTATGTTTTAGTATTGCACTGCGTTTATGTTTGTATTGTTAGTGTTAATAAATTATATTGTTTATAACATATCTGAGGTCTGCATTTCCCTGCGTCAGTCACACAACTCTGGTCACACCTGGGAGCCCTGACACCACCACAATGGATTTGAAATGAAACGAACAAGATGTGCTTTAACTGCAGACTGTCAGCTTTAATTTGAGGGTATCTACATCCAAATCAGGTGAAAGGTGTAGGAATTACAACAGTTTGCATATGTGCCTCCCACTTGTTAAGGGACCAAAAGTAATGGGACAGAATAATAATCATATATCAAACTTTCAATTTTTAATACTTGGTTGCAAATCCTTTGCAGTCAATTACAGCCTGAAGTCTGGAACGCATAGACATCACCAGATGCTGGGTTTCATCCCTGGTAATGCTCTGTCAGGCCTCAACTGCAACTGTCTTCAGTTCCTGCTTGTTCTTGGGGCATTTTCCCTTCAGTTTTGTCTTCAGCAAGTGAAATGCATGCTCAATCGGATTCAGGTCAGGTGATTGACTTGGCCATTGCATAACATTCCACTTCTTTCCCTTAAAAAAAACTCTTTGGTTGCTTTTGCAGTATGCTTTGGGTTATTGTCCATCTACATTGTGAAGCGGCGTCCAATGAGTTCTGAAGCATTTGTCTGAATATGAGCAGATAATATTGCCCGAAACACTTCAGAATTCATCCTGCTGCTTTTGTCAGCAGTCACATCATCAATAAATACAAGAGAACCAGTTCCATTGGCAGCCATACATGCCCTCGCCATGACACTACCACCACCATGCTTGATGAGGTGGTATGCTTGGGATCATGAGCAGTTCCTTTCCTTCTCCATACCCTTCTCTTCCCATCACTCTGGTACAAGTTGATCTTGGTCTCATCTGTCCATAGGATGTTGTTCCAGAACTGTGAAAGCTTTTTTAGATGTCGTTTGGCAAACTCTAATCTGGCCTTCCTGTTTTTGAGGCTCACCAATGGTTTACATCTTGTGGTGAACCCTCTGTATTCACTCTGATGAAGTCTTCTCTTGATTGTTGACTTTGACACACATACACCTACCTCCTGGAGAGTGTTCTTGATCTGGCCAACTGTTGTGAAGGGTGTTTTCTTCACCAGGGAAAGAATTTTTCGGTCATCCACCACAGTTGTTTTCCGTAGTCTTCCAGGTCTTTTGGTGTTGCTGAGCTCACCGGTGCGTTCCTTCTTTTTAAGAATGTTCCAAACAGTTGTTTTGGCCACACCTAATGTTTTTTTCTATCTCTCTGATGGGTTTGTTTGTTTTTTCAGCCTAATGGTGGCTTGCTTCACTGATAGTGGCAGCTCTTTGGATCTCATCTTGAGAGTTGACAGCAACAGATTCCAAATGCAAATAGCACACTTGAAATGAACTCTGGACCTTTTATCTGCTCATTGTAATTGGGATAATGAGGGAATAACACACCTGGCCATGGAACAGCTGAGAAGCCAATTGTCCCATTACTTTTGGTCCCTTAACAAGTGGAAGGCACATATGCAAACTATTGTAATTCCTACACTGTTCACCTGATTTGGATGTAAATACCCTCAAATAAAGCTGACAGTCTGCAGTTACAGCACATTTTGTTTGTTTCGATTCAAATCCATTGTGGTGGTGTATATAGAGCCAAAAATGTTAGAATTGTGTCGATGTCCCAATATTTATGGACCTGACTGTATATAAAAAGAAAATACAATCATTTGCAAATCTATTAAACCCATATTTTATTCATAACAGAAAATAGAACACATAGCAAATGTGTAAACATGGGAAAATTTTCCAATTTAAGAAAAAAAATATTAGGAAATTTTGAAATTGATGATAGCAACATATCTCAAACAAGTTGGGACAGGGCAACAAAAAGTAAGTGGTAATAACAAGGAAGAGCATAAATTAGGTCATTGGCAACAAGTCAGTAACATCATTAGTGTCCTGGAAATGTTACAGATAGGCAACTCCTATCCTGATTTTGATTAGTGGTTCCAAAATAATAATAACTCCTGCAGCAGAGAACAGACACAAAAAGATACACTCAGCATCTTTCCAAATACATGTTCTGTTTTTTCGGCGCAGTTGAAGTTTTTTTTTTATATACATAATTACATAGGTATCACATTAATATTACAATTGTACTTTTATGGTAACAAGGGGTGTTACATAGGCAGGCTAATTTCTAATTGGAACTCAAAAAAATGCAAATGTAATTAAAACACGAGTGCAGTGTGCAATACATAGGCACAGCATACAAACTAGAGTACAATTTTATACAGAGTTTACAAATTTACTTTACAATTAGGTATAAAAGAAGAATCTTAGAGAGTCGGTGTGTCAGAAGC